TTTGTATTTTAAATGCTAAATGCAAAATACGTATTTTCAAAATACATTTTTCAAATAAATACTTTTTTGTAATACTTCATTAATTTTCTATATTTACTTAAGTATAAAATATTTTTTAAGAAAACCTTCCAGGCATTTTCTCATTTTTTAAATATTGGCATTTTTCTAGTCTAATAGTGGTATTTGCACTATATCACCAGCTGCGAAAATTGAGTATGATTAATATTTCTTTTGTTTGAAGTAATTGAGATATAGTGTTTCTACCTTGCCATTGTTTCTTCAGTTCAGCAACAAATAATTCTTTTATATACTTCCTTATTTACCTTGTCACCCGTTTTAATTGGAAAAAAGACACTCATGCCAAAATGGTTTGTTTACCGTGAAAGATCAGAGCCAAAATAGGGTTTCAAATCATTTTATTGATGTAAAATCAACATCAGTTAATCATATCAAAATATTTACAACCGCATTTAATTTCCGATGTTTTACACATTTTAATAAAAAAAAGAAACGAAATCCATAGTTTCTTTAGCTTTGGGTTCTTTTAATTGTTTTTTAAGACTTTTACACAGCTAGCGTGTATCAATTCGATATTGTTTTGCTGGCTGTTTTGTCGTAATTCATAGAATTTTTTAGTTTCTTGCTAAAGATACGATAAGTGGTGATTTGGCAGGTGCTGATATCAATTTGGAACTTCAAAATTCCATGGACCATGACATTAAACCAGGAAAACAATATCGATCCAATATGTTAGATCGTCAATTTCCAAGAAATTTAGATTTTTTTGGGCTTTCATCAGTTAAAGAATTAGAAGGCATTCGTGGATTGTCTCTTTGTCCTCTTTTTATGCTTCTAATAACTCCAGAGTCCAATATGAGCAATTTTCATTCATAATTTTATATAATGATTGATCGGTGATACTAGCAAAATTTTTAACGGCAAAAAAGCATTTTGCATTTACGTTAGGAAAAGTATTTTGAATAAAATACAAAATGCTTTTCTCAATAGATATTTAAATCTATTTTCTATATATATATCTAAATGAATTGCTCTTCGTTAGTCTCGCTAAAACTTCAGAACGGATGGACCAATTTGGCTAATTTTGGTCTTGAATTATTTGTGGAAGTCCAGAGAAGGTTTAAAAGATGAATGAATATGAAAGTTGTTAACTATCTTTTCAGGTTATTTTTATTGTCACAAATTAAATTTCTGAACGCAACCATAATATTTGACATTTGACAACCAACTAAATATGTCGATCCATCCTATACGTATTATGGATTCCTTTTGTTTGTTTTAAGTTTATTTTATACAAAAGTTTAGGTATGTTTTATTTTGTATTTGCATTTTAAATGCAAGTATTTCAAATAAACCACATCTCTGCATGGCCTTAACGGTAACAGGGGTTTAATACGTACATTCCTAACTATATTTAATTAAATCCTGACGCTTTAGTTGAGTATGTTTTTTACGGCAAGAGAGAAGTGTAGTCTAGGCGACAGGGAGATGTTTGCTAATACGTATTGTGACGTACCGTGATATTTTTTGTCTACGTTTTAAGTTTCTTTTTTCTAAATGCACAACATTCGTAGTGCAAAAATTGTTCATTTCGGTTGCTAGCATGAGGGCTAACGTTAAAAATATATAGATTGGTGCCGTTGGACCACTAGGAGGCTTAAAGCGTATGCAGCAAATTAATGAGGTAAGTGATCTTATCACGATAATGTACCTGTCGCCTGCTGCACTGGTGTCCGAACACGTGACCGTAATTATTGTACTTCGTTGTCGCATAAAAAAAAGTGTGAAACGTTCCATTTTTTATCTATTATGCTCTTTGTTTTTCATTATTGTTTGATCATTTTTTGTAATGTTACGATATTTTAAATGAGATAATTTTTCTTTTGCAGGTGCTAAAGTGTCGCTATTTTGTCGTTTTCCGCATACAATCAATAATCAAAACTTCCCAGTATTGCCGTTTAGTATTACAAAATTAATCGTTTCGTTTTTCGGGGTAACAATGTTCGTCCAAACCGAGTACAGTAATAAATCGAACAATAATAACAACGAACTTACGCGATCGTCGCCGTGTGAACCGACCACTGAAAATTGTGACGTCATTTTTAAAGACTTTGACGTGATAACGCGGTTTTGTATGCCTATATGTTCGCGCGACAACGAAATTCGAGAAGTGGCGCTGGATGTAATTTCTAAAACGGTTGAGAATTGGCTTGACGGTGTTGGCAGCCCTAAACACTATCGTTTCGCTGACAGGCGAAGGGTTGTTGCGACGGGTGCTGTAGGAGGATGCGCTTACGCCGACATAACAGACAACCTGTTTTCAGAAATATCCATCGAGTACCTCGATCTCGTTACCCTACATTTACCCATCATACTGAGGCTGTCGCTTAGTTGTCCGTTCGTCAATGTCAGGGAGAAATGTGAACATATCCTAGATGTAGTTAAGGTTAGTACCTTAGCAAGTAGTTTTCGTAATTTTAAATATCTTGTGCAGCATATTGGACTAGAGTTCGCTACGCCTATACATGTCTAACAACTGTTTTAACATGAATCTACTAATAAAAGTAATTATGAAAAGAATGGATCAAATACGATGTGCTAATCAGAGACAATAATATCCACATTGTATTCATAAGGCCTTTTATGTTTTTTTCACAATTTCTGTATTTTACTTACAAGTTTATTCGATATATATAAATTTTACAAAACACGATTTTATTAGTCGAAAGCTGCAGGTGCCTATTTTTTCCCCTAATTGGTGCAATTTGGACTCCAATGGGCGGGGGGTATATATATGTATATCATCCACTTCTTGCGTTCTAGCTCCGAGGGGCATGGTCTAGAGGTTTAGACCATTGCTTAGCACTCGGGGGCACGTCGGTTCGATTCCGGGTCCGTCTGCTTTGGTCCAAGTTTTTCTGTAGGTTCCTTGGATAACTTAGGCAAATGTTGGGGCAATAATATTCCATAGATAATTTTTCATTCTCTTCTGTCTTCATCTCGTCCGTTTCACATTTCTCGCTTGAACCACCACCCACCCATTCCCACAATTCCTGAAAAAAGGCTGAAGAAGGCCTTCCGCCCTACCTTCCGGCGTAATCCAGAGGGACTGCCCGCCCCCCAGCATTAGTGGCTGGCGGGAATAAAACACCTAAAAGTTTTTTTTTAGTAGCTAGATCAGTGATTCCAAACCTGGGGGTAAATCAGTTATTCTGTGGGGGTAACAAAGAACCTAATAATTAAGATCTAATCTGATAAAATACGTAGCTAGATAGTAAAAATATAAAATTATAAATGTGTCGATGTTTATACAACTGTATGCACAATTAGTAAATATTAAACCAAACAAAATCGCATTTGAAAATTCTGTGATTCAGCATTTATCTGCAGCAATAAATTCACTGAAGCAATATTTTCCGGATATGGATAAAGACGAAGACCTGGCGGCCAAAGTGGAATATCTTGGAGTATGCCAGAATACTTCTTGCAGAGTAGAATTTCAAAATTATGATCGTAGCATATTTTGGCGAAAAGCTTGTGCCGAATATCCTGATCCAGCTAACAGAACTTTAAAAATGCCAATACCCTTTGCCACCACATGTAGATGTGAGAGTGGATTTTCAACTGTGGTTACCCTGAAGACAAAGACCAGAATCCTTATTAGTATTGAGTTACTTTACCTATATTAGTATCTTTTTCAATTTTTCGATTTTTCATCTCCATCCTATGATTCCTGTTATAGTAATAAGTAAAAAAAGTTCGTTGGTATAGTGCTGTGGCGACCCTCGCCTATTATACTATGTATTCTAGTCTTTTGTTTTGTACATATTAAGTCATTGTAAATAATATGTGACACTCTGTATATATATATAACTTCTGCTTTTCTTCAACTTGTAAATATTCTAACGAACTGTCTTTCTACTAACAGCATGTTAACAGTTTCTTTTCTGGATCTGACTTCCTGCCTTTTGGGTTTTGCCACATAAAGTAAAATAAATTCTCTACTTCTCTCTTCAACAAAGAGTTTTTCTTCATCGTCCATAATTACCCACAGTGCTTCTGGATTTTCACCGTGCATTTGAGGCTTTAAGCCGAGATCTTCTAGTTAAAAAACTAATGAAATATAATTTTGGAAAAAATGTGGTGGTTCTGAGATTATTTACATACAAAGTCACAACTAACAAAATAGAATGATGTAGTACCTTCAGCGCTGGGGAATAACAACGGGGTTCCGCAGGGAACAGTAATGGGACCCGATCTATTTGTCCTGTACATAAATGATATCGTGAAGGTAGCGAAGAAATGTGAGATACAAGTAACACTATTTTATTTTACGAACGTGAAAATATTAATGTGATTAATTATATAATTGAATGAAGACTTGAATAGGTTATATAAAAGGGGAAATATAAATAAGACCAAATTAATTATCAATAAAAAAATTGAGCCGGTATTCTTCTTCTTTCTAAATCTAACATTTTTTGAACATGCAAGTTATATATCGAAAAAGATCTCTAAAAAAATTAATATGTTGTGTAATATAGAATATGGATTAAGCTCATTATTTCTAAATCAATAATTTTACCACATTTGACTTGTGTTTGCGTCCAGTAAAATGTATATGAAAGTGTAATAGATAGAAAAGTATAAAATACGAGATCTGTTCAAAAGGTATCGCGAATTTTGAATTTCTGTGGGTTATGGATATTTGATTTTCGATTTTTTTGTGGCGTTATATTGGTACTCATGTCTCTCACTTATACCGACAAGATCGGCCATGTTGAATGTCCATTTAATTTTTGACAGCTGCTTTGCTAGCATGTGTTTTAGCTCGTTTTCAATTTTTGGGTATTCCAAAAAATGGATCAAAGAATCTGTATCAAATTTTGTGTGAAAAACAAAACGCATTCCGAATGTTGACTGTGGCATATGGTGAAGCTACCTTCGATCGAAGCAAAGTTTATCGGTGGTACAAAATGTTGTCAGAGGGCTTAGAAGATGTGAACGACGATAAGGGTGCTGGACGTCCAAGTACGTCAACAGCAAACGTAAACATTGATCTTTGTAAAGTAAATGGTATTGACTAATCGTCGAATCATCGTTAGATAAGTTGCTGAGGACCTAAACATATTGCTCTGCTCCTGCCAAAGATTTGGGCATTAGACGGGTCGCCGCGAAATTCGCACCAAAGTTGCTCAATTTCGAACTGTCTCTGTCCGCGACGACCCAAATTTGCTTCAGAGGGTCATAACCGGTGACGATTCATGGGTTTATGGTTATGACGTGGAAACCAAAGTTCAATCATCCCAGTGGAAGCTGCCGCACCAGCCAAGACCGAAAAAAGCGCGCCAAGTTAGGTCGAATGTGATGATTTTGCTTACAGTTTTCTTCGATCGCAGGGGCGTGGTACATCATGAGTTCTTACCACAGGGTAGAAAGGTTAATAATAATTTCGCAGCTACCGTACTCCCCAGATCTGGCCCTCTGTAATTTTTTCTAGTTCCCGAAACTGAAGAGGTCTATGTCTATGAAAGGACGACGCTACGCTACAGTTGAAGAGATAAAGACGGCATCGAAGGAGGAGCTGAACAAGATCACAAAAAATGATTTTTTGAAGTGCTTCGAGGATTGGAGAAAACGTTGGCAGAAGTGTATAATGTCTGATGGGAATTACTTTGAAGGGGACAAAATAGGTATTCATGAATAAATGAATAATTTTTGAAAAACAACACGAAATTCCCGATACTGTTTGAACAGACTTTGTATATGTTAAAAGAAACAAAATTCAGAATATAAATTTTCAATACAATATTGGTGATATATAAAATAAAAAATGGATTGTACCCAGATCACATTGTGGAGGGAATACGTTTTATACAGGATATAATACATACCTACAATACCAAGGCTAGAAACGATTTCTATATATTAAATGAGTCATCATCTTTTATGCAGAATGGTAAGAGTCACTAGAGTTAAATAATATACCGAACGGAATAAAGTGCTAAAATAATGTGTATAAATTCAAAGATACGCTTAGCACTCATATAGTTAATAAATATGATGTATAGTAAAGGATAACATAATTTATTATGGCTTTGTTTAGTTTTAGCTATAGAATAAAGGCTTTATTTATCCCTTTATCCCAGCTTAACAACTATTGTTTAGTGGTATGTTTTTCCCCTTAATCCAAAAGGGGGTCTCATTGTGTGCAAAATTACCTAACTTTTAAGGTAGTGGATTAAAAACGTAGCCTCAACAAAGCATCTGTTAATGTACAGAAGCCGCGGTGCATGAATTAAACTCATAGTTGTCTGGAATTTCTTAGTATAGCCATGTGTATTTCAGTGAAAGGTATTCGAGTAATTAGGTATGTTATAGATAATGAAATGTCTCTTCATTTAATGAGAACATCCAATAAAATATTAATTAAATTTTGTTTTTGTCTTCACGGTACGGATAGATATTGCAACTGGGTTTAATGATGCCTGCTACTTACTTTTTTATTCATTAGTCTTACCATAATGACTTTATCTTTTTGTATGAGATTTAATAGCGATCTAACATTTGTAATCATAATGCTTAAGATGTTTTTAACTGCCTTTAGATAAAAGAAATATTACATTGTTGCTATTATTTACATTATTTACAATTAATGTAAAAAGCTATTCTTACCAATTTGTGATAAACATACACATACTGAGTGTTCGAACTAAGGCGGTTTCGTCTATAATTATTTTAAAATACGTTTAATAAAAAACTGTTTTCATAAAGGGGGTCTGGAATCATATGACGTATATACAGAAAATATTTTCAGTCGAACACGGTGCTCGAGTTCTTGTGGGCATTATTTTAAATGAAACACCAAGTATATTGTTACATTTTCGGCTTCTTCATTTAATTTTATCACGGAGGGAAAAATTTTGTAAAGAGGTTATGAGGTTGTTTAAGCTACCCCAGTAGCACAACAATATTGGTAAAATATTATATTTACATATTGGTTCAATGATGGAAACGTCAGATTTTTTTTTATTGGCCCAATATAGATTGTGTTGGACCAGAACTGTCAATATATAATTTAATAAAGTATTTGTTTATTATACGAAAACTGTCTTTCATTTCCACAAAAAAAAACGAAATGACTTTCCGAACAACCCTATATT